TGTGTGATTTATATTTGTTGCCCAGTGGCTTGATGCATAATAGCAGCTGCAAAATGGACTGGATTCTGATGAATTTCCTAGTTGAGGCTGGTCAGTGGTTGGTAGCAGCATTATAATCTCAGCATTTTTCAGAATTCCCTACATCCTCAACTGGTGATCCTGGAGTGATCACTTTCTTTGGAAATATTAGACTGCAGCCTGAAAACATTCAGGTTGTAAACAATTTGGGGTTTAAAATCTCTTCCCAGATTAAGAGAACTCATTTCTAGCAAAAGCTCTCTGCCTTTTTCTGACGTGTCTGGTATGACCACAAATGGAAAAAAGGTACTAGGTTTTATAAATGACTGGACCTGATCCAATCCTGTGCTTAGTTTGGAAAGGATATAAACCTTTAACTTGAATGATATGAAGTGCAGGCCCAAGGCTAATGTGAGAACGTGTGGCAGTGAGAACAAGCAGCATAAGCATTTGGAGCATTTTTGAGCCTGCCAAGTATTGATTGGTAATGGGAGGGAATGAGTGGAGAAGCATTTCAATTTGGCACCCACATGTGATTCTGGTGCTGTCACAGTGAATTAGCAGGACTTTCTTTTCCCTCTAGTCCATCCCAGGCTTTTGTCATTGAAGTATCCCCTTTGCTCTTATCAACTTGTTAAAAGACAAAGTGGAAAAAAACCCAAATAAATTCCCAGAACTTTTGCCCCCAAAAAGCCTGATTATGTTATGCTGCTATCCTCTGAATGGAGGCTGAGCAGTTCTAACGACTATCACAGCATAAATGGTATAGGGGATTCGAGCTACAATTACTCATTTTGCACAGTCACTTAATCCACTAATGGGGAGAAATGGGACAACAGTTTAAGAAGGCAAGAGAACTGTCAGAGAGTATTAAATCTGTTGGGATCATTTGGTCTAGTAGTCTGTCTTGACCCAAGTACATGCTTCAGCTAATGCAACAGACTTAATGCCTCCGGTAATTAGAGCAAGAAGAGATGGGTCATCATTAGCAACTAGAAATTCAGGGTTGTATTTCATCTGGAAGGCAGCATCTTCAGCAGGGCTTATTTGTTGCCACTGCAGATCATCTGTGAGTCACAAGTGGTACATTGGTCTGACTCATTTGTGTGATTTAGCAGAGGCTTTTTAATACATGCTCACTGTTCCGTATGAATAGTTTTTCTAAATAGTTGCCCAACAGAAAAGGCACAACATTAGACAACCCTGTGCAGTTAATACTGCTGCTCTTATTCACAAGATGTTGGTGATTTCTTTATTGTTGTGCAGTTCACAGTTCATATTACTTTTGATTGTAGGTTTGAAATGTCTTTGTCATATCCCTGAAACTGAAGAGTGAAGAAAGCAAAGCCAAGCAAGCATGGAAAGCATCAGTAATTGGCATCTTCAGAATGTACAAGAGCCAATCTAATACCATTCAAGGCATATATTCACAGAATACTTTCACAAGGGTTTCACAGATCCAAAATCATATTCAGTCCTGCACATTGCCAACAGCATGAATGAAAATTATATACCACAGATTCAGTGTTTTTGCAGATACTAGGAAATTTCTAAGTCCTCTTAAAAGAGTACTGCTAAGTAAATGAAGATGCAGGTAGAAAGGAAATTAGCCACCATCTGAACTCCATTACAAGGTACTATGAAATGGGAACTGAAATAATATAAATGGGGTGATGTAATACACCTGAGTCATTACATATGATCTTGTGCAGATCAGCAGGCAGGGAACTGTGACTTGAGAAAACCAAAGTATTGAAGTGTGGCTTGAAAATACTTGAGAGAAGCTGTATAAATCAATGGATGGTCATCAAGCAGAATTTGGGTGTCTGTGGTTGGCTAATTAGATATGTGATGCTGAAAACCTCCTCAGAGACACCACCAAAGAGGGAAGGAAGGTTGCGGTGCTTCAGCAAGATCTGTCTGGAGAAACTCTGTCAAAAATATGCCCAGACCCTAGCGGGGACTTAAGACACTTCTAACAATCACTAGAAAAGAAAAGGATTCGGAGGTGTCAAAAAGATAGCCATTCTCAGTGTGGATGGGAATCTCCTTAGAAACAAGTATACTTGGGAGTTTAATTTGCCAAATTAATCAAGTTCAAAAGCTCTCAACAGTGTTCATGTCCATGATATCTGATGGATTGTGAGCTAACTAGAACTGAAGAGACCTTTTGTGGTTTGATCTTCACATGGTTGCCTGGCTTCAGCAGAGTGCTTTTTATCTCCATGAAGCTGTTGTGAGCTTTTCACAAAAGAATGGGTCATCTGGTCCAACCTCCCTGCTCAAGCAGGGTCATCCCAGAGCACATGGCACAGGGTTGCATACAGACAGTTCTGGAATATTTCCAGTGAGGGAGACTCCACAACCTCTCTGGACAACCTGTTCCAGTGCTCAATCAGCCCCACATTCAAGAAGTTCTTTCTCATGTTCGGCTGGAACTTCCTGTGCATCAGTTTCTGCCCATTGTCTCTTGTCCTGATGCTTGAAACCACTGAGAAGAGCCTGGCTTCATCCTCTTCATGGTCTCCTTCTTTCCTTCTGTGCTTCTTGAAGAGTGAGGAAAAAGAAATAGCCATTCTTCACTCCCTCTTGCAGGTGTGCCTGGGGAATTGAGTTGTAGGCTCAGAGGAAATATTTTCTCAGGAGATTTTGTTTATTAGCTTTTGGAGCTTGGATCCATCCCAGATTTTCTCCACCTTAGTCTTACTTTATACAAGCACTGTCATGGTAGAAGGTCCTGAGAAGGACACATCTGATGGAGGTTTCTCTGCAGTACCACTACATCAGCTCAGTAGACCTCACTGGAGAAGCTTGGATTCTTCCCACTTTGTAACCACATCCTCTTTTATCTCTGCAGATGTTCTGATTTCTGCTCTGTCCTTTCTCTTCACTCTTTCCTTCTGATGCAGGCTTTTCCCACAGTAACATTCTCTCTTCACACATGGCCATCTGCCTCTACTTTTCTGCTGCATTCTGTGCTATCTGGTCCTCATGTGACAACCACAAGTTCTTGTGAGGTCAAGACTGGCTGCTGCCTCCCATACCACTCTAACCTGTATTTTGCTGGTGGTGTAAAGGCCTTTATCAGTTGTAGTATTTACTGTCAGCCAAATAGTAGCATAATATGTGCTACTGACAGGATGGAAATAATGGATGCATAATAATAATAATGATTATGAGCATAAGGTATGTTATTATATAAAAGAAAGATTACCAAACCCACTTCATCTCTCTGCCAGCACCATGTCTCTGCTGGACAGCTGTCATGAGAAGAGACCTTACAGGTGCAAGAAAGAGAGACCCTTGAATCTCTTCTTCCTTCATAATACATATTCAAGGTTCTGAGTATTAATGTGTGGTGGTGTCAAGAGTGTAAAGGAAGTTGTCTGCTGTATGTGCAGCTGACTATCTGAGGGGACACAAGGGACTTAATGTTTTAGGAGCATGCTTATAATGCCATTTAAAAGGCTAATTCTTCTCTCTTGTACACTCAACTTGGATATAATCCCATCCAACCTGCCTCTACAAGTTCTGCTCCATCCTGTAATTTTCACTTACCGTCTTTCAGACCCTGCCTTTTATCTGGTTTCCCTAGCAGAGCTCACATAAACTGCTGGCTCCTCAGAGGAAAGGTAGCCAGTAAGTTTTGAAGTGAGCAAGAATGTGGCATGAGTCACTAAACATTGGGGAACCAAGAAAATCTTTGTCAGTGCCCAATTCTAGTGGAAGTTGCTTTGGGAAGTAAATGGCTACGTGTCTTTGTGAAGGAGTCCACGAGTTCCTCAGCAAAAAGACAGTGGCAGCTGTCTGGCATAGAAAGGTTTGCTTTGTAGGTGCTGGAGAAACAGATGTCCTGCAGGTATTTGTGCTCCAATCAATCACTTAAATTAATGTACTTCATATTTGACTTAATGAAGGACATAATGAAGGATAACTAGCAACAACAGTGCCTTTCCTGAGGTAGCACCCAGTGCCCACCCAGGTGCTGCCTTTGCCAGCTGCTGCAGAGGCAGTAAATTGGTCAAGGGATGTCAAAGTTCATTTTCCAGGGGGAAATAGTGATATTACCCAAAAGTGGAGTGTGCCTTCCTTAATAAGGAATGCTTAGCACCACAGGATCTCATGTCTATACTCTGTCACTCCCTTCCATGTGCTGATGTACCCTTCTTTCTAAAAGCCAGCAAGCTTCACTGGATCAATGAGGCCTGATCAATTGTTTTTGCCTCTGAATCATCCATATGGGGTTGTTAGCTGAGCTGCTGGCAGAAAACGAGAGGCAGCTTTCTGTCTGTTTACTGTAAAGAAAGCGAAGCAAGCTACAGGAGGCGACAGGCTGCACAGTATTTACTGTCAATACAGCCAGAGAGAGAGAGGAGATATAAGGAGAGGGGAGGAGAGGGGAGCAGGGGTTGCAGACTGCAACCCCAGTGAGTGATCTGAGTGTAAAAATACCCATGCATTTTCAGATGGAAAGAGAGTGGATTAGTCAACAAGGAATAACTGAGAGCATTTAAGAAAGGATGTAGTGAAGGTCTAGCAAGGCAGGGATGAACTAGTAGCATGCAGAGTAATAATACTGTGCATAAATGTACTGAAGCTGCACTGCAATCTGAAAAGCACTTCCAGATCTGCCCTGAGACAGAGCACTTGCTGGGGTATTTTTGTGTATGGCTGCATGCAAGATCCACCATTTAAAAGTAATACGATGAATAATAACAATTGAACTTAGAGAATAAGATTTGGAGATAGTTTTCTGAATGAGCTGGATGTCACCATCGTAGCTCAAACCAGAAAAAGAAAATTATTAAAAATAGGCATGCTTCCTTGTTTCTCTCTTCTCTTACTCATCCCCAGCACAGAGATATTAGGTGACTTGAGCTTCACAGGGCAAGAAGGCTCTGAGCAGCTCTCTCTGAGTGTTCCTCTACTTCCAGAGGCAGGTGAACAAGTGAAGAGTGAATTCACACTTTAAAGAGCAGCGAAGACCATCTTGCCATGAAACCATTCACAGATGAAGATGTAGAAATCTACATCCAGAGCAAGGTAAGACTTTATCTGACCAGATTTTCTGTCTCCCACACTAGGTGTTGATTCTGAAGGGTGCCAAATTTGACAGTTAGTTGCTCGCCTGCTGTCTTCATTTCTGAGACAAGATTGGGTGAAGTTTCATGAGAACTGTATTTCTAATGAGATTTCTAGGTTTCTGTTGCAGAATCTTATCTGCTGGTAGCCTAATTTTCCAAGGGGCTTGTCCTCTTCTTCTAGGTATCCTGAATTTTTGTTCCTGATCTGGAATTCCAGATGTGAGACTAGCTGTAATTGCCAGCATTTAAATCTAAGGAAGTGTCCTTGCCTCTCTCCCTGTCTGGTGGTCTTGGCTTGACTGAAACAAGTGCAACACCAGGCGTTGCCTCTAAGAAAGATTCATGTAGGAACTGCAGAGACAGACCAATATTGTTAGAATTCAGTCATCAGTCTGTCACCTCAGCTTAGGATACTTCTCTATATACCATGATTAAAATATCATGTCTCATTAGCACATGCAGACTGGAATCTCATTTTCTATTTTATAAGATATTCCAGCACTCAATTTTCCCCCCATTATGAAATGAAATAAAACAGAATAAAATCTTCTGTGAAACAATACTGTTTAATAAAAGCTCTAAGTGAGCCATAACATTTTTTAAAGCTGACATATTTCATGGTAGTACTTAGCTAGATCCTGTTTTATAGTCTGCTTTTCCCAACAAAATGCAAGACACCAAAGTGACAAATAATTTCAAAATCAGAAAGTATAAGGTTTTATTTTCTGTAAAGGATAGCATATTCTGTTACAATGAAGGGGCTGGTAAGAAAGGTTTGTTTTCTCTATGGAAATGTTTTAGTGGCAAGTATGAAGGTTCTCCCAGAAATATACCTTCTTCAGGCATGGGGTGTTGTGCACAGGAAAATCATTCCATGAGAATCTGTTCAGCGAGCTATAACAGTGAATGCTTCTCTGAAGATTTAAAAAGAAGAGCTACAAAGGAGGGAACAGAGGGAAGCAATGCACAGGAAAATGCTCATATGACAGCCATAAGTACAAGGAACAGAAGCAGACTGTAGTTCAGTGAGGCTCATAGTTGCCAATATTTTAGGTTATACTCGAAGTCTGTTTTCTAGCAGCCCTCCAACTCTGATGGATTCTTATTTCTGCCTGCTCCCGAGTCTCTTGTCCAACTTCAGGCAGTTCAGCTTGTCAAATGCTGCCTGTTTTTGGAAACAGGTCAACCACCTGGTGCAATGAATCTCTGTAATACCATAGATTTCATCCTTAAGCCACTCATCAAGGGAAAAATTCAAATGCATATGGAGTGGATGTGGCTGGGTAAATAAGAGGAAGCCCAAATGTTCTTAACAGTTCATAATAAATCGCAATCCTGCTTCCTTCCTCCTTAATAAAACCTTAATTATTCAAGTTTTGTACATTTGTTTTAGCACAATTCCCTGAGTTAAGACCTGGTAAGGGGAATACCAGTAAGTCACAGAAGTGACTGTCCAACAAAGACCTTACAATGTCTCTTCTCCCAATGCGTCTGTGCTGGTAGTAAAAGTATCTGAGATAAATGCCTTGGCTCTTCAGACTCACATTCTCTTTTCTGATTTTCTGCCCTCCCTTCTGTAGGAAGGTTATATTTTCCAACAGGATGATTAGGGAGCTAATTATGGTTAGCTAATTATAGTGAGCAGCCTCAGTCAGTCACATGCCCATTGTTCTGTTATCCCTGCTCCAGTGATGGGGAGTACACATTGAAAGTGGACTTTAGTGGTACTCTCTCAACTGTTCTTTTGAGTGTATACTCTTATAAAGAATTCATGACAACTGCTGTAGCCTAGCCAGTAGGTGATGAAGGCAGAATTAAATGAGGCCATGCTGGGTTGAATGGATTGTCCCTGGATATTGGAGGTGGCAAGAAATGTTCCCAGCAGGTGCCCCTTAGAGAGAACAGAGCATGAGCAATGCATATAGAGGGCACTGTAGGTCTTTTGAGCTGACCCACTGTATATAATTTTATACTCTTCAGTTTAAAAAAAGTCTGGTTTTTGTCTAAAAGCTCTTAGACATGGACAGCTTTCTCTGGCACTCACCATTCACTTGCTGGAGAAACCATTAGGTATCTTGTCAAGCTTATTGGACTGTTCTAAGGAGTTGTTCTGGATGAACAAAAATAAGGTGGAGAAAATAGATACAGTATAGATACAGATGGAGAAGTGCCATAAATGATATCTGAGATGAAGAGGTGAAAATGAATATGGGCTAAAATATCTCAGTGGGGTTTTTTTAAAGTACATGTAAGTAGCTAAAACTGCTCTTAGAGAAAAGGATGATATTGGAATGAGGGGGAGGGTGAACTACTAGGGAAATTAAAGGGCATTATATAAACATAAAGGACTACATGGTGTTAAGATAGCAAAGAAGCAGGATGTCAAGAGTGGATGAGAGCTCAGTCAAGGGAGTATGATGCTGTTGTCTGATGTATTTCCCATTTACAAAAGCTATTCAGCTTAGTAAAAATACCATTAACTTTGTTGTCTGAGGGAGGAAGGTATTCAAACTCTGCTCATCTTCAAGTTCAGTATTAGTCAGTTGCTGTTCATGGTTAATGGATGTGAGGCAAGCACTGGTCTGCTTTAGCCCATTGAATGGTCCCTTTTTGTGAAGAAGTGAATCTCTTTGTCCCCTTCCAGGCCCTGGGGACACATTTCAACACACTTGAGTGTTTTTGGCTGATAGTTCAACATTTGACATAAAGGTGTCCAAAAGGACTTCTAAAGAAGTACTTGTCAGTGATATTTTTAAAAGAGAAAAGAGAGTTGTTGAGGTGCTGAAGAAGATGCTGAGTGAAGAGGACACAGGAATTTTGGAAAGCTGTAGGTTGGTTTGGGTTGGAGGGCACCTTTAAAGATCATACAGTGCAATTTCCCTGCTGTGGACTGTGATACCTTCCACTGGACCATGGCTCAAAGCCCTGTCCAGCCTGGCCTTGAACACTTCCAGGGATGGGGCATCCACAGCTTCTCTAGGCAGCCTGTGCCAAGGCCTCACCACCCTCACAGTACAGAATTTTTAACTTATGCTTTTGCTTCCTTTTGGTCTTTGATAATAACAAAAGACTGTAACAGTTATGTTGACTGGCAATTACACTTTATCATTCACTTTAGTCAGGTGATGGACTCTGTTTCTGATTTTTTTTTTCTTGCCTGCAGACAATAAGGTTTAGTAGAATATGGTGAAGAAAAAGAAGAATCAAGAAGAAAGCAAAAGCTGCAACCATATGAGATGAAGTGTAGGATCCAAAAAAGAGCAGTAAACAGTCTTAATATTTCACTCTGCATAAGTAATTCTGGTTGCATAAGTAATGACAAATATGTTCATGAACTTCATTAACAGTAGCTGAATCTCCTCACTTTGGTACATGTGTAAGGATATTTGGGAAATATTAAATGTCCTTTACTAACATGGTTCCTTCATGTTCCTCCTGTTGAATCTCCTTGTTCAGATTGTGACAGTCCCCCCTATAGTCCCTTCATTTTTAGTCATAAGTGAAGGTTCAGGTTCATCTTATATTTTTCTGAGTTGTCCACCCCTCACCTCAGTTCTCCCAAGACTCAGACATTTCACTGAAATAATTTTCAATAATTCATTATGCTACTACTTCTCAAAGAATTACCCTTTAAGCTACACAAACACCTAGTTCCCAATGGGACCAGCTTTGGAAAGATGCTTTCACACTATCTAGGAGTAGAGTCTCATCTGTACTTCAGCCATAAAGACAGTGTGGACACTTTCAGTGTATAAGGTAGGCGTCTAAATGATGCCACATACATCTGCCCCCTGACTAATGGACAGATCTGTAACTCTTGATGTCTTGTCAGCTCTTGGAATGGAACATGTCCTGACTTTGAGAATGGTTACCATATGCAGGGGAGTAACTGGTATTCTGCATCAAATGGATAAAGAATTGAGACTGTAGCTGTAGTTGAAAACAAATTTATCTGTGTAAAGAACCCCTTTCCTTCCATCCAATGGTGTTAGCATGGAAATATCAATTAATGCTCAATAGTCTTGAATATTGACGCTTTGCTGTTCACAGCTCTGTCTCATGGTAAATTGGTTCCAATACACAGGGAAACAATTTTTATTCTCAGTGCAGCACAAGCACAAATGTTTCAGGATGCTTTAAGCTGATTTGTCTGCTTCCCACTGGAGACAAAGACTGCAATTACCTGCAACATGAAGTGTCTTTCCTGGAACTGACAGGTGGAAAGGCGGCATTACCTGGTTTCCAAAGCAGTGGAGGAGGTGCAGAAAATCATCCAGCAGCTGACTGCAGAAATCAGCTACAAGGCTGTGCGATTCCAGGCCATCTCCAACTCTGGCATTCACAATGAGAACATTAAGGTATGAACAAGAGCTCTAATGCACTCTCTGGCAGCCTGTGGGCAACCAGAAAGTGATTACTCCATTATGTAAGTGTTTGTATGGGCAGGTACCTCACCCAAAACACCACAGATGATGTGCTGACTCTTCACTGTGGAGTTCTAGAGATTGGGTCATTGGCACTCACTCATGGACATCTCACAGCCAGAGGAGCATTCAAGAGAGATGGGTAAATCAAGCAGAGCCTCTTAGAGTTGCTGTGTTTACAAACAGCATCTATTGCCAGAGCTGTCAATCCACAAACAGAAGCCAAAGCTCTTTGGGAGACAGAAAGAAAGTTACACAGCAGTAACGTAAGAAAAAATGCTCATGTCTTCATGAGCTATGATCTGTATTTTTCACAGGTGGAAAAGCTGTCAACTCACTAAAACAAAAGAAAGAAAAATTAGAAGTCCTTCTTCTGCTATGAACATTAGAAAGCTTCTTCTGAAAAATATGTTTTTTCCTTGTCATGAATCGGAATTTCTTTTTATTGGGGAAAAAAAAAAAGGTTATTAGTGGGAGAAGTGAAATGTCTCCCTGTTTTAGACCTTCAGACATGAAAATAATAATGCCCTGTCCCAGCTGTGACAGAAGAAGGCTGCTTATTTCTTGTGACTTCATTCCACAAAAGTAACTAGAAAAGACACAAGAAACAATCACAACAATGGCAACTTCAGGTGAAAACAATTTTTTTCATCTGAACTAGTTGAAATACTAATGTCAACCATTATACTGAACCACAGCCATTTACAGATCAAAACACAGCAAATACACAAAAGCACGAGGCAACTTTTGCAGCTCTCTGGGACTGAAAGGGAAGAAGTCTTTGTGTGATAGCTGCTGGAAGGGTATGGAGGTGGAGGCAAAATATAATGCCCTGGGACACAGACACTGAGATTCCTAGCTTTATTGGGATTTCGTGTATCCCAGAGCATGTGGTCTTGTCAGTAAGTATGGCCACAGTGACGTAAAACAGTGCCACATCCTGGTCCACAAGTTCCTGAGTGCCAGGCTCTGCCAGCCACCTCTTGTGCTGGAACAAACCTGTTTGGCTAATGAGGTCTGACAGGGCCAGGGTCAGGGTAAAATTGTTCTTCTGGAAAGGAAAGCAGAACAAAACCACCAAGGCAATCTATTATGAGCAGCAACTTGGTATTACAGTATGCAGATCTGAACAAATTCTGCTTGAAAGAAATCCTCAAAATCTGTTTCCTTAAAAGTGGCAGATCTGTTGTTCATGCTTAACTGAACCCAGTGTTACAAATCTGTGGAGGTTACACTCAGAGGACCTGACTAACTGTCCTGTATGTATGGGGAAGCAAAGAACAAGTTGATGAGAAATTATTTTGGTTTGGGCTGTCTCCCTCCAAAAATTGGAAACTTTAATACTGTTGCTGACATACTTCAACATAGAGGAGACTTGTGTCCAGGAAAAGTCAATGTATTCATATATTCATTATTCCATGTTTCATTGTGCAACATCTTTTTTTTCTGTTGGCTGAATCTACAGGATTTTTCAGAACTTTCAGCTTCTGGCTAAAAGGAATCAATTTAACATGGTGAGACATCTAGATTTGTTGAGAAGCCTCAAGCTCCCTTGTAAATATGAAGGGCTGAGTGGAGAATGGTTACGAAAAGTCTCTAGGTATTCAGTGTTTTCCTGTGACCCATGTAACCAAAAGTCACGCTTTAATGAAAAACCTGAATTAAAATTCAGAAGAACAAACCAGATTATTTAATTTTTAAAAGTTCTAAGTGTTTGTTTTTGTAGTGGCCCACCATTTTTGGAGCTGTCAACTGTGCAGGGCTGATGCAAAAGCTGTGGAGGCTTCAGTAAAGTTATAATGAAGAGGTCCAGACTGATCACTGGTACTCCACTGCCCAGTGGCATAGCCAAGTGTTTAATCAAGGTGGGGACAATGGAGGGATTTTCCTTTAACAAACTCCAAGCATCCAGGGAAGCTTGCAGCTTTGCTCTGTGAATGAGTGACCTAGCACATGCTTTCTCTCTGTTCTGTGTACTTGTCTTCCTTTCTGCTTCTCTCAGGATCAGCCAGCTTTACTGGCCAAGTGGTCAGCTATGCTTCGGAGGAAGCGCCCATTCCACCCATCCATCCAGGTACAAAGCCTTCCTGGTGCCTGACAATCCCTGTGCTTGCTTCCTCCTCACACACCCTCTTCTTCAGATGACTGCACCCACCAAACTGATCCTTCCATGACTGTTTTGTCTTTTGCACAAGAGCTTGCTTTTTTTTTTTTCCCTCAAAGCATAATTATTTTCTTTCTAACCTACTGTTTCTGTCTCCCTGGAACAGCATGGCCAGGTTCACAAGAATGAGGTTGTATTTAATTTGCCCAGCATACTCTAGACAGGATTTTAATACAGCAGAACTGGCCACAAGTTACACACCCCAGAACTGGAGACTCCTGCTCAAGCCTGTAACTTTCGGGGGCCTGTGGCCTGCACATGGTGTGTGAGACCATCGTGTGACAGAGCATGGGTGTGGGACTGGGATTTGTTTAGGCCAAGAAGACACCAGCTGCCCAGCTTTACAGTGCTAATCCCAGCCTTGTGCATTCTGTTGTTTTCTGGTAAGCCCCAGGTGGAGAACCCTTGCATTTGTAGGCACTCACATGACATGTGCAACTCTTCCCTTTGCAATCTATTGGGTGCCAGTGCATACAAGACAGCATTTTGGTTGGGGGGAATGGTTGTTTACCTGCAAATGTGGCTGAGGCAGTGAGAGGAGCAGTAACTGCATGACAGCCATTGTATTTTTTCCTTATGGAGCCTACTGCTCTATTTCTGAGCTGCCCACAGGATTTCTCAGTCCCACCAGATCTGATGTGTGCAAATTAGCTTCATCTTCAATGTCATCCTTTCAGCATCCTCCTGCCTTTATGGTTTATATTTGACAAAAGAGCAGCATCCTGGTGTTTTCCTTGCTATTTCTGTGTTTCTGGCTGGCCATCTTTTATTTTCCAAATCTCTTGCCAAGGAGCAGAGAAGACCAGCTGCTCCCTGTGAGAGAGAGAGGCAGGAGTTGAGTGTAGCAAGGCAGCCCCTGCCCTGTGGTCCCTGAGTGAGACAGACACAAGGAGGGCAGTGGGCCAGCCAAGAGTCTGGATCATCAGGAAAGTCTGCTGGTAAGTCAGGTCTGAGGTCAAGCCACTCCCCCACTCACTGGAGCCCAGGGCTAACCTGAAATGGGTTATTAACCTGGGGTTCTGCCCAGACCCATGGGCAGAAGGTGTGGATAGAAGTCCCAGAAGGCTGCTTAGGGACAAGAAAGCTTGTTAGTGCCCTCAGGGGCCTGGTACTTCTGTGGTAATACTTTAAATCAGCTGAGCTGAGCTGAGGAAGGCTACCAGAGTGTTTTGGATTGTTACAGGAGAGTGACAAGCGTGTTTCATTCACCGTGGGTGTAACCACCTCACAGCAGTGGCTGTCACTTCACATCCCGCTCATGCAGCAGCTTCACTTTACTTATGCCACTGTAAGTTAGGCTTGGTAGCAAGTGGACTTGAAAAGCTCCTAAGCCAACATGGTAAAAATCTGAAGGAATTTGAGCACCCTTTCTGGAACCACAACGGCCAGATGCTTCCAAAGTAGCTCTTGGACATGTCTGGCTATGCCCTGGACCAGACAAATGATGTTTTGTGGTATTTGAGTCACCTCATTCTTTCCTTGCAAATAGTGTCTCAGAACTGGATTTTATTGGAAAATGGTTTTTCCTCAAGTGAGGCACATGAACTGGCTTGCAAACAAGCCTGTTTAAGGCTTACTTGTCCATTGGTTGCTGCCTCCATCCTTACACTGTTTCTGTCATGCTCATCAGGCAATGTACAGATGCAGTTCTGTACATTTCAGCTGGCCAGGACCTGGACTTGTTTCTGGGAGTGACAGTGCCTCTGTAGGCTCAGGCATGTCACTTGCCTTATGTCTCTGTCCCTTTAAATGTCAGTCAGACAGAGTGAAACACTTGTAAAATTAATGGGCCATAGCCTTATTTTGCTAATGTCTGTAGTGGACTTTGAAAGAGATCAGAAAGATGCACTTTTGCCATAGTTATTACTAGTATTGGACTCTGGGCTTATCTCAAGTAACAATTCTGCGATAATAACTAGCACTATTTGGGTTTCCCTTGGATCTCAAAACATATTCTCTCATGCCTTCCTGCTCCTTGGAAGCTGCTGGTTATTACATCTCATGCAATTGCAGACTAGAAATAGCAAGAGAAGGGGAAAACACGGCAGGTGTGGTGGCAAGTCAGCCAGTGAGCTCTTATCTTCTAAGAGCTTCGCATCAAATGCCTTCTAAGACAATTTCCTTTTAGTCTGCATGCCTCCAAGATAACCCTTAGACCGGTCCTGGCTGTGTTCAGTTAGTCCCATTATACCATGGTTTGTCCTTCTTTTTCAAGCCCCCAGTTTAACCTAGTACTTCCTCAACCCTGTTTTCCTTACTGTGGCTCATGGATCTGCCCTTGTCTCCTCTCTCAATGTCTCTGAACTCTCCCAGGTGTTAGCACCCAGCCAGTTCCTCATCACAGTTCCTCTGCGTGGCCTGACGGGTTACAGGGAGTGCCAGGTACGGCACTGGCGCTATTACACCGTGCATGGAGCCAAGCTCCTCTCCTCCGTACGGGACCCTGAGGAACTGCACCAGTGGCTGGAGGTAGAGCAGTTCTCAAAAAGCCTCCAGCAGTGGCATGAAGAGGATGTGAACATCGAGGGTGATCTGGTTCCAGCCAAGGTCCTTATCGTCTTCCGGGAGCTGGTGGAGAAGTCGATTGTCTCCTGTAACCTCTCCAGTGAGTTTGGTGGGGACAGGTGTGAGGGAATCCATTACACACACACACAGTGTTTGCCTTGTGTGGTCAGAAGCTGAGCAAAACTCTCCCAAACTAGGAAAACTTCAAGCGATTGCATTGACAGACACAGACCTGCACTGAAGATAGAATTCAGTAGTTCTTGGGCAATTTGTACCAAGGTGTTACTCCTTTCTTAGGAATTTGGGTAGAGTCTCCAGCCACATCACCCTCTTCAACTAAGAGGCAGCCCTGATTTTTATAACATTTAGGAGTTTGTTTGGGGAAAAAATCTTTCTCTACTACAGCACCTGCAATATATTTAAATTATTAAAGAAGGTAGTATAGGAAAATTGGATATTGGAAAGATGTGTACATCTGAGAAGAATATGTTTGAAGATATTTGTAGAGCAGATAATGCTCTGGGGAAACCTTAGCTGCCCACAGCTTTCCAGCATGGGATGGTGGTAACTAAGTAGAGGGACTTCTACTGAAGCAAAGTATGTTGGACAAGTGCTCTTTTCTCCAGTGTCCAAGCTACTCCTGTGGTGCCTCTTCCCATGGCATGTTTCCAGAATGACTTTCTTCATCGGTAGCCTAATGAGTCTTCTGTATTTCAGAGCAGTAGAAGCTATTTCCACTCATCTGATCGCACTCTGAATTGTAGTCACAGAAAAAAAACTGTTAAAGTCAAGCTCTGCTAGATAATGGCATTTTTTTCAGGAAATACTTGTTATCATAGGAGTGGAAAGGTGGATAGGAGTGAAATTTCACCATTGAGGCTGGGAAGACCAGCTGGAACAGGCTTGCTTCTGAGGCTTCACTTATGTGAAAGTTTTTATGTTGGGTAGCAGTCACATTCACAGTCACATCAAGTTCTTGAGTGAAAGTTGAGTGCTGCAGGAAAGGTACTTGCAAGGACCCCAGAGAGTGGAGTTTAGGTTGAGTATTCTGATGCCTTTTTTGTAAGGTCCGCTGGGAGGAGAGGGGCTAAGATGAAGTCAGGAGAAGCAATTACCATTTTTGTTTGTCTCTGTGAAGAATGGACTTCCTTCATCCCACAGTATGGCTAAAGTTACAGAAAAACTTCACTGATTTCTTTGCTTCCCTGTTTTTTTAATTCTTTCAACCCTAGCAAAATCAGTTTTTGAGGTGTCTCACTTTTCATTAGTGGAAAAATAGCTATAAGCATTGCAATGCTTTTGGAAAAGCCATGAACATATTTACATGCTGACACAGCGGTTGCTCTAACACTTTTCAGCTGCTAGAGATCCTTGTTGGGAGCTTGGGAACAGAACAGTTCCTGTTTTGATGTCAGGCTTGGCTCAGCAGGGAAATAGCATATAGATTTTCTGAGGTTTATGAAGTTCTGTTTGGGATGGACTCTACTCTTTGCAAGGTAATTCACCCCATGAATTGCTCCTTAGCCCATGCCACTCAAAATGAGGTGGGATAACACTCTGCTCTTTAAATTGCTTATGTTCATCTGCTCAGGCTTTCACTTCAGTGGGTTAGAGGATGAACATGCAATTGGCTCAGATGGCAGAGCTGAAGGGACAATGATCGTCCCTCAGTGACGGGGACAGAAACTTCTTCCATGAACTCAACTAGACCAACAGGAAACATCCCACAAAGTCCATTAGTTGCAGCTTGCTTTCCTTTCTGTACTCTTAGATTGTGCTGTTCCTGGAGATGAGCCACTCTTCTTTCACACTGAGGAAACTTCTTTCCTCCAAATCACCTTGGAACTAACTTTTCTTAACACTCAGCACTCACAGTGATGTATAAGTTAGCCTTTTCTGGGTGACTGCTCTGTACAACAGACCATAAATTCTGGTAGTGTCTTCTGTGCAAGTGCATCTCCAGAAACAAACTTTACAGATACCCCACAAAACATTCTGAATGACTGGCAGTGCTAAGTGTGATCTGGCAAGGGTCTGATCTCAGGTTCTCTGAAGAAGAACATCTTTAGATAGGAAGTGTTCATCTGGTCCTCTCCAATCTGCAGTGATCTCCTTGTAGTGTACCATTAGAAATGTTAGGTTGCACTACTTGTCTAGCTTTTTTTTTAAGAACCTGATCCTAGGGTTTAAGAGGACCAACAAAGGGGAAAAAAAGCATGATAATTTTGAGTGTAAAGTTAAGAACTTTGTTCTTTCATCTTCCTATTCTCATTCCCCAGGATAGACTAACATTAATTTAGGTTTTTCTTATATTCTTCATGCATTATTGAAGAGAAAGTGTTAAGACAGACCAATAGAACTGCAAGGTCCTAGACAGCCTCTTGCTTGGCTTGTGGAAAAGGACCTTTTTATCTATATTTTTTTCTTTTGTTGTCCTTTCACAGGTAAAGTGACAGTGCTGGAGAGCTTCAGCTCAGTGGTCCGTGTGGCTGTGGAGACGTCAGAATCCCAGGTTGAGGTGGAGCTGGTCCCTGCTGTGGAGATTCCAACGTGCTGGCCTGAGAAAGCCCGGTGGCCTCGTTGCCTTAAGCGTTGGCCTTCTCAGGAAAAAGTGCAATGCATCAAGGTAAACACTGTAAAAAACACCCTTAACTCTGGGGTGGAACTTACCTCTCAAGTGTCTGACAGTGTTTTACTGAAGGAAGAACTGCATGGTGATGGCAGTACGGTTAGAAGATGTATTCTCTAAAGAGAGAAGCAATGTTTCAAAATACTCTGTCAGAATTTATTTGGATTTTGTTAATCTGAGTTAGCTTTTTATTGCGTGAGTCTCTGGCAAACAGTTCTGCCTGCATCACACAGCTCTGACATGCATTATTCTTGCTCTGCCTCATGTAAGACTTCAGCAAATGGGCTGGTGTCTTGCAGTTTTCCTTCCAGCTCAATCCCATCTTTCCCTACAACAGTCATGGCTGGATTCTGGCACTTCAGTCCAGCCCCAGCTGCCAAGTTCCTGCAGGTCCCATTCCACCATCCAGTCCTGCTCCCCTCTTATGCACAAGCTCCTGCTCCACAGCAAAGTGCCTGCAGAGCTGCACCTCTGCTTTAGTGGCACTGCTGGTACTGTGCATGATGGTTCTGGAACAGGATCTCCCTGCAGTAACTGATACCAGCACACAAGGAAACAATGCAAAATGCACGTTTATTCAACTAAGAATTAAGATGGGAGCGCTCCTCATGTTTGCTGCCTCTGCTAACCCTGTTTAGAATAGGCTTTGAGAGATGTCACACATGCTTTTGTGGGAGAAGTTTGCCTCTGATCTGCTGTCCCACTTCCCCTGTTGTTCCACAGTCGCTGGGTTTCGACCTCCTAGCCCGCTCTAATTATCACTGGCAGCTGTGCTTCTCCCGTGCTGAGCACATCCTCATGGAGGGACTTGATGAAGATGGTGGCTGTCGCAGGAAGTGCTTCAGGGTCATGAGGCAGATGAAGGAAGATGTCTGGTGTGCTGGCAATAAGCCTGTCATCACAGCTTATCACCTGCAGGTAGGCATCACCCTGATACCTACCTACAGTCATGGGATCTGTTGCAGGGGCTTCCATCCAGTAATGCCAGAATGTCGTGGTGTAAATCAGTGTAGCACCTGTGTAACTTCTAAGGTAACTGTCAAAACTGCTTTACCTTTTCACTGCTTTGTGGTGGCAAGGAGTTCACTAAATATGTGTTCCAAACTTCAATAAGAAACTAAGGCCTGTAGGCACATTATGATTGCAGGTGGCCCCTGCTCTGGTCGAGGCCCCTGCTCTGTTCTGACTTCACATTATACTGTTGTCTGTAATTACACATTTAGTTCCTGCTTCTTGACTATCCCAGCCATCTATATCCATCCCTCTCTCTCTGGTGAAAGACAGTGATTTTTTTCTTTATGGATTTGCACCAAACAAAACTGTCTTAGGTAAGCATTATTAATGAATTAGATGCAAACTACAGTTTTGGTGGTGTTTCACTTGGGGTAGGAAGGGAAGAAAGAGTTAAAGGGGTGGTGGCATCCTCCCCGCACATATTTCAGGGTTCAAGATGACTTCTAACAAGATTTGTGAAGAAGAGAGAGAAGACTCTGCTATGAGTGTGTCCCCACATCTGACAGCTGCAGACACCAATGGGCCACAGGCAGCACCATTTGTTAGATTATAGATTTAAAATCCTGTTTTCTGGGGCTTCTTCCTCCTGGAGTTGCCAGGGAGAGGCTGTACTTTTCCCACCTTGAAGCCTCAAGCCATTAGGTTCCTACAGTAGTTACTGATCTTTTGGTGTCCAAAACTAAATGCAATGTTAAGATTCTTCCTAAAGAAAAAGCTGGAAAAACCATCAAATGCTGTTACAGTCATGGCACTACTCTAAGTCAAGATGGAGTAAAAAAATATTTGATGAGGCTGATTATAGCTTAGCTGAATGCAAAACTCCTCAGTGCCTGTAAGAACAACCTGGTGGGGAAACTGTCATGTGTAAGACAAAGTAGAAAACCATTTAACCCTTGGGAACAACGTTTTCCCCTGGCTGAAGGAGCAGATGTGTAGCAAGTGCTGTTGCATGGACTCTTGATTAAAGTAGGAAACTATTCAGAAGCTCTTCAGTTCTTTACTGTAACTATAGTTCCAGCTTTTACGGCAAGAGAGGATTGGTTTACCAGACAGAAAGAATTTTTCAAAATTACTCACATTAAAAAGAAAAACAGGAGAAAAATAAAAGAAAAATGAGAGAAACAGTCAGTGGTTAAACCAGCAGTTGAGCAGAGGCTTAGTGTTCGGTTTCTTCACATCCTCAGGTTCCCCCTGTCAGAGGTATCCAGCAATTAGGATTAAACAAGATCCTCTCTGACAGAGGAAATCTGTATCCCAGAAGTTTTGAAAGCCAGAGACAACCACATAATTGCCCTTCTTTTGCTTACCTGCATAGAAATTAAGTTTGAGATCTGGAATTTCAAAAATATCTAGGTACATTCTGAAAGCCAACTCTATGCTGCAGGTAGAGAGCTGGCAGTTAGGGACATAAATGCTGGGGGATAAATCACTTGTTTGGGCTCCTGACTGAAAAAGCAGCACTGTTTTCCTTGCCTCCAGAAACTCCATTGCAACTGCTGCCTGCTGAAGTAGTTTTAGCATGTCAGAAGGCAACTGCTCTGCAAGTCTTCAAGGAGCAGCTCTCAGAGAGTTACAGCTTGAATTCCTCTTGAATTATTCCCTGGTGACATTCAAGAAAAGGCTTTGTGGTTATTGCAGCTGTGAACAAAAAATTTTTCACATTTGAAAAACTGTTTGAGAAGAAATTTGTCCTCAGTACAACTATAGGTGAAATTCTACCTCTGTAGAAACAGACAAGTTGAAGGCTGTGGTTCTGTCACCTCTCAAAATGTCTGAGTCTCTTTTTGGGTAGCTGAATTTGCAAAATAAAATTGGGATTCAGAGGACAGATAAGGGACTTAGCAGAATTATTGAACACCAAATAGGTGATTTTGTACTTTTAAAAGTTATTTCAGGCTGACCGAGGCAGTTGGTATGGCTTTTTTGGTACAGTAAGTCTAAGTTCCTTGAGAAAATTCTTCTCAATCATGGGAAAGTCTGAGAAAATGCTACATAGGCAGTGTAAAAATAATACTGTAAGAGCAATAATCATATGCATTTTGTTATTTTAACTATGTATTTTTCAAAAGCTAAATTGCATTAAATAATTATGGAGGAATAGAACATAAGACATGAAATATCACATGTCAGAATAAACCAGGCAGCATTTGACCAGAAAGCAAGCCTTGCACCTGCAATGGCTTCTTGGAATTTCAGTCTGTTTAGGATGCAGATCTTCATGTATCTTCAGCACAAATACAGCTGAAGCTAACAAATAATTACGTTGATCTCATTATGCTCTGTCCCTCCTTGCATCTACTGACTTCTACCCTTGCATAATAGGCCATTTTCTAAAGCTTAAAATGCCTGGCATTTCTACAGAGCCTCCTTCTGGAGGATGGCAAATAGGCCAAGATTATTTTAGTGAGATTATTTTCCTTGGGCTCCTGGCTCAGTCAGTGGAGAGTGGCTCCTCTGGGGAGAGATCCTCACCAGGCACCTCCAAGCTGCTCCTCCTGGTCACTTGGGATCCCTCCATTACAGAAACGTTAACGCAGGGAGGTAGCAGCGTGAGTCTCTGTGATTTCCAAGGCTGCCAGCCACTTACCAGCACTAAAAGTGCCTTAGTAAGCTGTGTGAGCCCTCGACAGAACCTCTAACACATCTTCTCTCCCATCTGCTTCTTGCAGACAGTGCTATTCTGGACGTGTGAAAAATACCCACGCACCAAGGATTGGCGCTGCTTCCCTGAAGCCTTTCTGAGGCTGGTACAGAAGCTGCACAAGTGTGTAAGCCAGCACTTCCTCAAGCATTACTTTCTCAAGAACACCAATCTGCTCAAATATGCCAACACCAGTGACCTGGACCTGGTGGCCAGCAAGCTGGCAGTCTTCTTGGAGAACCCTGTTTTCTGCCTGGACTAAGGCAGGCAAAGTCATGCCCCAGCCCTGAGTGGATCCCCCAGCTCCTCTCCCCACCTGTGGTTGCTCCCTGTGTCCTTCAGTCGATGTTGCAGCTGGCTCTGTGAGACAGTTGGCACATGCAGCGCTAAAGAGAAGTGTGGAGCTGGCAGCGGTGGGCGGTGAAAACTGATGGGAGGTATCACTTGATGCCCAGCTGATCTAATTTGCTTTCAACAGTGACAGCCTGCCTGGAAGCTACAGCCAGTGAAACCCAACTTTGTGTGTCAGTCAGAGCAGGCAGCTGCCTTGTTCTGTGTCTCCAGTCTTGTGGCACCTAAGCTGAAAGGCAGCGCAAAGGAGTCTCGCTCTGCTGCCTCTGTAACCCAGCACATGTATTGTTGCTGCTCTCACCTTTCTCACAAGGACAGCGGGTTTAATTGCCTGCTTACCTCACAGGCCAGCTCTGCAGAGGGGCAGAGGAACATTTCCGAGGTGTTCTGGAAGCTGGAAGCTTACTCAGAGGAAATTCAATTCAGGGAGATCCTGCTCCAGTAGGAATCCAGTAGGGATTTAAACATGCTGCTAGTGTTGAAGAGCTCAATGGAAGCAAGAAGAGGAACAGTGGGGTTTGCCTCTTCATTTTTCTCTCCTCCACTTATGTTTTTCTTCCAATTTCTTCAAATATGTCTTCTTCATTTTGCCTTTGCAGGTTGTGTTAGTGCCATAAAATCAAGGGGCTTTGGCAGGGCAGATTTCACTCCCATCCCTGGCTCTGCCTAGCAGGCTGGACAAGGAGCAGGTCTTTCCCTACTTCTTAACACCTATGTATTTTTGGGTGCAGTGCAGAAGAGAGTTTTTTTCAAAGGCTCTTAACTCCAAGACTCTCGGTGCTTTTAATTTTGAGGACGTTTCAAAACAAAATGGATTTTAGTATTTCAAAAGAACAGAGCTTTAGAATTAATATAAAGAATGCTGGATTTAATGTTATTAAGTTGCTGAAACTAAACAAAGATAGAGGGGATTTTGGGCTTGGTTTGGTGGGGTTTTTTTGTCACATCTGTGCTTGAAAGTAAACAAGTCCTTTGCCAAGGGGGCTGGCAGAGGTGGGATTTGCATCCCGCGCTCCAGGGAGCTGCATGAGGCGCATCCGCGGCACGGCATCTCCCCATCGTGGCAGACTCTGGTACAGCCATGGGTCTCCAGAACAGCCTCTGCCTCTGGAGCAGGCTGTCACCTAGTTTTCTGAGCAGGGCAGATACGGGTCAGGAAGGATCCCAGCTGTGTGGTCCTGGCCTGGTCGTGGTCCTGTGTCTCCTGCACCAGATCTCACCATGTATAGACCTGATCCCACCACGTAAACCGGCACCCGCATTGCTCCGAACCTCGAATACCCTCCAAGCCACCTTTCCACATGGGTAACTGCATTGTGTGGAACTGTTTCCAACAGTTAACTTCTCTTGCTAGACCTTTGTTCTCCAGGCCCCCTAAATGGGACACAAGTGTCAGTTTCATGATGACACCTCCTGTTCAAGTGTAGCTTTCCTGTTTCCTGTGAGCTGAGCTGTTCCCGTAACGCGCAAGGAGATGCCGATGTACCAGGCAGAGTCAGACAGCTGTGGCAATGAAGTAATGTCTCCTGTCTCATCTTGATTTTGTCTTGCGGTTGAAGGGCTGGCTTCTGAAGTTAGAGGAGGGCAAAAACAATTCAGACTGTTTGAGGACACTGCAAAACATTCAGACCTGTTAATCCCAAATTTAGTATTTTACTGCTCTGATGTATGGTTCTTGTGGGATTTAGTTGTGGCTGTTGAAGAATTTATCTCCCTTTATAGCTGTGTGAAAAAAAATGTTTCAGTGGTGATACCTTAACTTGGATGCAGCTGTGTATCAGAGTCCTCAGCTGCTGGGGTCACAGCCTGCTGTGACGCAAAACCACGGGCATGCACCGTGTGCTGCACAGCCATGACATGGAATGCTCCACTGCTCTGCCACAGTGGCAGCCTCTTACAGCCAGCAATGACTCAGCAAAGGCAGAAAGTAACCACAGAACGATAGACACCTGCTCTGAGCCAAGTCTGATCAGTTTTTGCTCTGTTTTCTTCTTGTTTACACAAGCAAATGCATCAGCTAGCATATGCTGGGGCAGAAAGCATCCTTGTCACCACTGAAACATGGAAGGTACATTACTACTGACCACAAAGACACAGGAACAGTCCTGCAGCTTTTTCTCCAGAACAGCAAGATGTGATACAGGTGGCCACTGGCAAAGGGAAAAGGCTTTGAGGAAAGGACTAAAGTGTTCATGGAAGCAGTTGAATACAAGAATTAATTCCTTTCAGAGACATTTTTGAGCTACTATCTTACATCATCTCATGCAGGTCTGCTTGGGTGTGTGGGGTTTTGTTGTGAGGCAGTTTTTTGTGGTTGTGGGAGAGTTGTGCAGGAGGTCTCTTATTAAAAAAACCAAACTTGCCAAATATATTTATCACATTTCTTACCACAGTAAACTTTCTCCAAATAGCTTTTCACTTATACACCAAGCCTGACTGCAAAATCATGGCCTCATCCCAAGATTTTCCCCCAAAATGAGATACCACATTGTGTTTTGGCTACAGAATAATTTTTATGTTTTTCATATTCCTAATTTTTCTTTTTAAAAAGTGAGCATCTGGACAAATACAGACTTTCTTGAAATAAGTTTAATCAAAAGTTCTTTGTTCAGAATGTCTGGAAGGAATGTGATGACCATTTTCTCTCCCTCTCTTTTTCACTGCTTTCATGAGTATTTGCTGCATTTTCAGCCCTTGCCACAGTCAGCAAGGGCTCCATCTGTCAGAAATTTCAATTGAATGTGTTGCTCTGACATATAAAAACAGTACAAAACTCGTGATGGTTTGTCTTTTTACACAGCCTGCCTTCTAGTCACTAGAGGGCAATGTCTCTCTGAAGCACAAACACCGATCCAGGATCTTGCTCTTAAAATCAGCATCTTGTTATTATCATCGAGACGAGACAAATGAGCTCGATTGATTTAATGCTGAATTCTGTTGCCAAAAAGGAGAGAAGAGACCATGGGGGAGCTTTCTAATAAATAGCAAAAGTAGAGTAAAAAGTCTCTAAATTCTGGAAGCTCTAAGCGCCAGAATATGGATTTATTGTTTCTGATAGGCTTGCAGTAATTCCCAACAGCCTTCGATTGGGAAAGCACCAACAAGCAAAGTGCAGGCAGGCTTCTGGGAAGGAGGGAACTTGCAGGAATAGCCACTGCCCTGCTCCATTAGGGTCCTTCCCTCTCTCCATGGGACTAGGCCATGACTCCCATGTGTGCCTTAGGCTCCTCTGCCTCCCTCTTGTTTTCTCCCTCCTCCAGGAAAAAAAAAATAAATTCTCAGAACAAGTTTTCTGGTGCCACCCTTTTGGCTCTGGTGGGAATAGTTATTTTTCAGTGCACATCAAAGCTCTTTTAGTTCGTGGGACCCAGGTGTACACAGAGGCCGTTACAGACCATCTCCTCACCCTCACTTACACTCCATCTTCAGTTTGAAATGGTGCCCAGCAGTGAAGTTAGATCACCTTGCAAACTATATTCCCAGGGGAGCAGCCTGCCCTCTCTGAGCAAAGCTGGAACATGGACAATGATAGGCAGGATAATTTTGCCTTCACTCTAAATATTTTTCTGCTTACCAATGCTAGGATTTCTGGTTTTGAGGAGAAACATATTTTTTATTATTATATCCCACCCCCAACACTCATCTGAGGGCCTTGCAATGTCACTATGTGAGATAGTGACACAGCAGCCAGTGCTCAAATCATGGTAAGGGATCCCACTCACCCTTTCAGGCCAACCTGTGCCATTACTGTAGAAGGCTGTGGCGCCCTTGACCTCCTTGGCATCTGACTTCTCTGGCTGGAGTAATATACACAATTTCAAAAGAAATTAAACAGCTCCAGGTAGCAAATGTGTTTTAGTCTGTTCTGACCCAAACCATTGCAGCACAGAGAAATGGAGAATGCTTCCATCCATTGTACCTGTGTTAGTTGTACCTTGTCAGTTCTGCTTCAAGCAACATCTTTGAACTGAAAGAAAGGACAGGATCAGCACCTGGCTTTGAAAGCTTCTCCTGGATGGGTGATGAAGAATGCACAGATGCCACCAGAAACCAAGCTTATGGAGAGTACAGAATGTATTTTTCATAGGAAAGATTGTCTAATTTACCATTAGCATCTTCACAAATACAAATTACAAGGAAATGCATTAAGGAAAGAATTAATCAAATTGAAAGGCTTTGTAATAATTAGAAAAAAGAATGGCATCTTCCTAGGCTCCCCTGGGTGGTGGTAATTACCAGCTGCACAACTGTGGCTTATGCTACTTAAAGATTTCTGGACTAAAAATCTTAATATCTTTTTGTTTCCATTCTTAGAAAAGCCACTCTTGGAATCAGGCAGCAATACAAACCAGCAGCCCCAAGAAGCATGAACTGAACCTGCTTCAGCCTGGGAGGGCACCACTTTATGGGCAGGGTGGTCCAGAGCCTGATCCCAAGCCATGGCTCAGTTGTATCTGGCCCACCACATTTTTCCTGTTGCCTTGGAGGAGATGGGCACCATTTGTTAACCAGCAACTTGAACAGCCAAACCTCTTGTGCCACAGCTGCAGGCACCTTACACCCATCTGCTTCTGCAGCACATCCCAGCAGCAGAGGGCAGGCCATGGCCCTTGTGGTGACAGCGTTGTCACCCACACAGCTGGGGGACCTGAAGGGCAAGGCTGTGCACTGCAGCTCCAGGAGGCTAGCTAATGCATTCCAGGGAAAAAGTCTGGTTAATTCAGGACAGCTGAAAGAAAGTCCAGTTTCAAGCTAGTAGTGAACTAAAACAAAAATGCAGCTCAGAGGAGACTTTTAAAATCCACGGCAAAAATTACTAAGGAAATTAACATCAATGTTGAATTCCTAGGATCCCATTTTAAAAGGGTGAAGACTGGGAGGAATGTCATCTGCCACCAAATCCATCTGCTGCTCTTCCTGGTCCTTTCCCCCAGATTAACCGAGAGCAAAGGTAGGTAGGTACTTTCAAAGGTGGTTGGATACTTTGCCCCTGGCTCCCAAGGCAGGCAGATTATTTCAGACCCACACAGATCATTAGGAGCTTTCTTTGAACTTTCAGCCTAGATGTGCTCACAGCCAGTGCAGTCTGGTTTGTACCAGTACAGATCAAGCTGCTGCTCACCCTCCATGGAGTTTGCTGTCTGTGCAACCATCACAAGGGTAATCATAAGCTCCCTTGCCTTCAGCTGAGCATGACTAGATGTGCCAGACTCTGTGGTCTTTCTCTCTGATAATACCTCTGTTCCAGTCTTGCTCTACACTGAGTGTAATTCCACTCTTGCTCTACACTGGGTGTAATCCATCTCTGCACAGATAACCAGGCTGGTTTGCAGCCTT